TCGAACGCTTCGGAGCTACTCCGGGGTGTCCAGGCTGCGCAGACCTCATGGCAAGGGGGTCGGCGCGGGTCGCGCACTCCCAAGAGTGCCGCGATCGCATCGAGGCCGAGCTGATGAAGGACTCGGCGGGCCAGCGGAGACTGGCGGAGCACCACCTGAGGGCGAGTGCTCGTGAGGCTCAGGCGGAGGAGAGCGCGGCGCAGCCGGCGCCCCAGCCTGGAGCAGCCGCAGCCAGCGGCGGAGGAGCCGCTGCGGCCAGCAGCGGAGGAGGCGCCGCGGCAGGGCCCGGCGCAGACGTGGCCATGGCAGGTCCACGCGCGGGCGCCCCGGCGACGCCACCGGCAGCATCGAGGAAGCGTGCTGCGAGCGTGTCAGCCGAGGAGCGCCGCCCGCCGCAGTTGCGAGACGGGCCAAGGGGGCTCAAGAGAGCCGGGAGCGAGCCGGACCTCCACGGGCAGATGATAGTGGACGGAGGCTCGAGCTCGTCGGCTGGACCGGCGAGCGCGGCAGTGTCCGCCGGGCTGGTGCAGCCCGCTCCTAGCCCAGAGGGGGCTAGAGGAGGTGGCGACATGGAGGACTTGGCAGGACCAGCTGCACGAGCTGGCAGCTCCATGGACGTCGGCGCCTTTGACGAGGTCAAGGGCAAGATCTACAGGGAGATCCTGGCGCTGGTGAGCGCCACGGACCTGATCGGCAACAACGTCATGTCGATCAAGGAGCTGAAGGAGGTGTCCGCGCTGTTGACCGAGATCAACGGGGTCGACCTCGCGGAGGTCTACTCGCCCGAGCGCTTCAAAGGGAAGGCGCTCGGCATGGGCCTGACGGCAGGCCTCGCGGCGGACCTCTACACCGGCTGGGACTTGCTTCGCGAGGACCACCGCCGAGCAGTCATGAAGAAGCTGTTGGAGGAGGACCCTCTCCTCACCGTGACCTCTCCGCCGTGCACGGTCTTCTCCAAGCTCAGGCAGCTCAGCAACTTCAAGCGGGACGAGGGCATCGTGGCTTCCGAGGTCCTCGAGGGTGAGACACACCTGGAGTTCTCCATGAAGGTGTGCGAGAGCAGGCATCAGCGAGGAGCACTTTTCCTGCATGAACATCCCTGGGGAGCATCCTCCTGGTCGCGGCCGTGCGTCCAGAGGGTCAGGGAGTTGCCGGGCGTGTACTTTGTGCGCGGCCCGATGTGCCGCTGGGGCCTCCACGCTCAGGGGCCTGATGGGCGCGAGGCATTCGTGCGCAAGGAGACGGGCTGGCTGACGAACTCGCAGGTCTTGGCCGACATCCTTGCTGGGGAGTGCCGCTGCCAGTCCATCGGCGGCGAACCCTACCGGCACGTGCACTTGATCGGTGACAGGAGGGCTCGAAAGGCGCAGGTGTACCCACCCCGCCTGGTCAGAGCCATCCTTCGCGGCCTCGGGGAGGAACTTCGAGTTCGAGAATCGCTGTCTGACCTGGCGGGCTTCACCGCCGGGCCCTCGCCTCACGCCGAGGATATGGACCAGGAGGCGGAGGCGTTCGCGGACGACGTCCGCGGGGGCTTCCTCGACCCGCTGAAGGTGAAGGAGGCCAGGGCTGAGGAGCTGGAGTGGTGCCGCAGCCGCGGAGTGTGGAAGAAGGTTCCACGCCGCGAGATGGAGGCGGAAGGAGGTCGTGCCATCGACACGCGGTGGATTGACACCAACAAGGGGGACCTCGAGCGACCGTTGTACCGCTCGAGGCTCGTGGCACGGGAGATGAAGGTTCGCCGGCGCGCCGAGGGGCTGCTGCCGCCGCAGCAGGACCTCTTCTCGGGGACGCCACCGCTGGAGGCGTTCAAGGCGCTGGTCAGCCTTTTCCTCAGCAGGGCGTTCGAGCAGTTCCAGAGCTCGGAGCCCCGCGAGGTGCTGTACAAGTTCTACGACGTGTCGCGTGCCCACTTCTACGGGCACGTGCAGAGGCGCCTCTGGGTGGAGCTTCCGCCCGAGGAGCGCCAGGGCGAGGAGGAGCCACTCGTCGGACTTCTCCTTCGCACGATGTACGGCACGATGGATGCGAGCCAGGTCTGGCAGGGTGACTACGTCGAGCTGCTCAAGTCCGTCGAGTTCCTGCAAGGGAAGTCGAGCCCCGCCATCCTGTGGCACCCAGGGCGTGACATCGCCCTCGAGGTGCATGGCGACGACTTCGGCGTGCTGATGTATGCAGACGACGAGGCCTGGTTCGACGAGTTGTTGAAGAAGTATGACTACAAGGTCACGGGCCGCCTCTCCTCGGCGGCCGAAGGGGTCCAGAGCACGGTCTACCTGAACCGCGTGCTCATCTGGGATCCCGCCGCAGGTGAGGCACGCATCGAGTCTGACGTCCGCCACGTGGACATGATCCTTCGGGACCTGCACCTGTGCGACGCCAAGCCGGTGCAGACGCCCGCGGTCAAGAAGAGTGTGACCGAGATGATAGAAGCCTCGCAGTCCCAGACGCTCGATGACGCACAGTCCAAGCTCTACCGCTCGCTGGTCATGCGTGCGAGCTACATCGGGCAGGACAGGCCGGACCTCAGCTACATAGCGTCTTCTCTGGCCAAGTCGATGAAGACTCCACGTGAGTCGGACATGATGGACCTGAAGCGCCTGGGGAGATACCTCAAGCAGGCCAGGGCAGGCTCGCTGGTATTCAAGCTGCAGGAGGTCCCCACGCGCATCGAGATCTTCGTAGACGCTGACTGGGCTGGCGAGGCTACCACCAGGAAATCACGCAGTGGCATGATGCTCATGCTCGGCTCCCATCTTGTGAAGCACGCTTCCACGCAGCAGACCACGGTGGCGCTGTCTTCAGGGGAGTCCGAGTACTATGCGATGCTGAAGGGTGCGAGTCACGCTTTGGGGCTCCAGTCTATGCTCCAAGACTTCGGCGTGCAGCACCTGGAGATGCCACTACTGCGCAGCGACAGCGTGGCGGCCGAGGGCATCGCCACGCGGCAGGGCCTTGGCGCGGTCCGCCACATCGACACGATATTCTTGTGGCTCCAGGACCAGGTCAAGGCAGGCAAAGTAGAGATCAAGCATGTGCCGGGGCTCCAGAACCCGGCCGATGCATTCACGAAGGCTCTGGATCAGACACATCTGAGACGGCATTTTGAGGCTATGGGCTTTAAGGTGCGCGACGAGGGCAGCCGGCTCCATCGCACTCTCTAGGGCGTGTGTGTGGCGCCAGGCAGATGCATGAGTTTTCTTTTCTTTCCTTTTCTTTTCCACGGACCTAGATGTCCCGCACTGAGGCGGGAGTTGCGGACGATGTGCATTGAGGAGTGGTCGGCCGTGCACGGACCTGGCGGGCGAGAGGCCTGCAGGCACGCGCGGCCCTGACGCCGCGGGAGTGGGGCGTTGGCCCGCTGTCCGCTGCGTCCGAGAGGGGGTGTTTCCCTTCACGTGCACAATCAGTGGTATCTGTTCTTATCGATATCGTTTGACGTCCGCAGCTCATTTGTGTCAAAGGAGCGTTGCACTCTTGGCTCTCGGAGTTCGCCACCCTCGGCAGGAGACGCCATGTGGTATCAGGAGGGTAAGCCGAAACAGATTCGACTCGTCCCAGACTCGGTATGTTTTGTCCCGGTTCGGTGAGGGTCGTTTCGGCCCTCGTCTCGGTTCGTATCGCTTCGCTTCGTCATGTCTCAGATCGTCACGTCTCGGTCAGCCTCGTCTCGGTCCGTCCACAGTCGGCGCGTTTCGCCTCGGTTTGGGTTTGCCCCTTCTTGGTTCGTCCCGCTTCGAAGCTGAATCGGATCTTGAGTTCGAGCTGGTTGAGCGCCCCGCACGTTTCGATTGCACCCAGCTCTGGGCGAGCTATGCGGTCATGCAGCTCGAGCTCGAGATCCAGGTCAGTTCGAAAGAATTCGGATGCCAAGGGCAACTTGACACACAACGCCACAGAGCAAAACGCAGTTCATCGCGGCACGACGCACTTCACTTTAGCACGCACAGGACAGCACAACCCTTGGCACGGTAACCGACGACCGATACATTCAGCATTGCAAGTGTCCGTCGCCCAATCAGGTGTTTCAAAATCGTTGCAATGTTTCGCATTTCTACATTCTTGGTTCGTGGGCCGCTCATGTTTTATCCACTCTTCAGCACAAGCAGCCCAGGGTACATGTAGATACACAAACATCTAGCAGGGGTGCCGTGAAGAACGCAATGTTGCGCACAAACGTGTGGATGGTAGAACTGGCTGGTTTAGTAATGCCTCTACGACGGTTTGCCCACATCACGTTTCCCTTGATCTGCGAAGGGCTATTTGGGCGAGACGCGTCATGCTCAGCACGCCAGCGGCATGTGTGTGAACGGATGTTGTGAGCGCAGGGCGGGTGCTCGCCAGCTTTCGGGCCGCTCGAGCGCGGAGATTTGTGGATAGCGAGCCGTCCGACTGCATACGCGGGTAAAGGATTTGAGAGCCGGCATCGGACTCTTCGCCATTCCTGGTTCGCCCATTGACAAGAGCTTCGATGCTAACACGTGTGGACTATGAGTGCGCATGTCGATCATGATGTTTGTATTGTCGATTCGCCGTGTCGTCGCACGTTTTAGCAGTATCAGGAATGATAGGGCAAGCGTATGTGCAGCTGCCCTGAGGCGTCCCCACCCCTTCGCAGTCCTGTCCTGAATCCCTTCTCTGTCATGCCTTCCCTCCACCGTGTTTCTTCACGTCACCTTATCCTCTCAGGACGTGGGGGGGAGGTGGGAGGCGAGGGGTGCAAGAACATTTGGCTCATCAGCCTCCTACTCGTTACCATTGAAATGCCCTCGTAATCCCATGTCTTCCCGGCGTCTTCTGGCCCCCCACCTTGTCGTCGGCCTTCGATCACGGGCCCCTTGTGTTAAGCGCAGCCGCCTGGCTCTCTCGCTGGAGACCGTCGGGGACACAACGAAGAATACCGAAGACCGTCAGAGACCTCCCGAAGTCCAATGCGTGAAAAGGGGTCCGTGGCTTGACACGTCACGCGTCTGCACGTCCCACCCCTCCGCCGCCGCCAGGAGGCGGAGGACGCCGCCACCAGAGCAGAGGCGAGGCTGGCCCTCTCTTCGGTGCGCGGGCCGATGGCCCCCCCTCGTGGTTGCTACTGGCCGCTTGGGCTTCAGGGCCGATTGCGGCATCCTCCGGTGAAGACAAGGGCGGCACACCTACAGTGAAACCGCAGCAGAAGGACGATAAGTTTTCCAATGGTGCCCCTTGCGTCCTTGCCTCTCGGCCCATCCTAGCCCTTCTCCCCCATGGGCGTCCAACTTCGGCATCCACTTGGTAGTTCAAGGGCCTCGTGTCCTTACAACGCATCTTTATGATCGGTTCGCACCGTGCTGGATGCAACAGAGTATGTTTCTGGCCTCTCTGGGGACTTGCTGGATGGCCTCTCGGAGGCCTCTCTGGGCCCCGTGGGCACATCTTGGAGCCTCTAGAGCGCCTCTTGGAATTTTCGGTTTCAGTTCGGTTTCGGACCCCCGCGATTTAAGGAATTCTGCGAATGCGGCGTGGTGCGATGGTGGCGATGGCGCTGATGATTGGATGATGTTGTTTGCCGCAGTGACGTGGGTTCGCTGTTCAACTCCAGGCATGGGTGGCCCCATTCTCACGCCTCGGGCGAGTAGTTGAAGAGGTCAGGCTTTGACTTCTTGCTGTATGTGTAGAAAGGCACGACGCCGTCCTCTGGAAACTCATCGGATGCCAAACGGAAATACACGCGCGTGTCCGTGGTCACGACGACGTGGGACCTCGCGAGCAGGGCCTTCATGTCCTCTTCCTCCGTGATCTGCTTCAGGGAGGGCGCGATGAGGGCCATGAACTGCTGGATCGTGATCACCATTAATTTCCCCTGGCGCCAGTCTGCCACCATCCGCTTCTCCAGAGCATTGTCGTAGCTGTTGATCACGGCCTGGCGGGACGCCCCTGGGGCGAACGTGCTGGACCCCCACCTCGCCCACAGCGTGGAATCCTCCTCGCTCGGGTTGAGGAAAGCCTTTAACACGGACGCGTCCTGCTTGTGCAAGTCCCCGTCGTCGAACACCGCGGGCAACACCCTCTCTACGGGCTCGCCCTTGAAGAAATCAAAGTGCTTGGCGGTGACAATTGAAGGCTCAGGTGCGCCCTCCCTGTCATCGCCCTCAAGGGCACCGATCTCGAGCATGGACATCAAGAGCGCAAGTGTCTTCGACGCCGTCGACTTCCCCACCCTGGTCTTGCCGATCCAGAGCACGCCGTTGCGGCGGAGAGTTGGCAGGATCTTCACGAGCACCTCGTTGATGAACCACGGCTCGAAGTCTTTCAGCGTGAGCACCCAGACAGAGAGGCGCTTGGCGTTGATGCGCCCGCTCGCGTGGTTCCGCAGCGCCTGGACCACGCGGGACTCCTCCCAGCCGTAGATTTTGACTGCTGGTCGTTGGTCTCCTGGGGGTGGGGGAACAACGGCACTGCTGGGCTAGCCGCAATCGCTCGGCGGTCAAAAGGCCCGCGCGGCCGAAGATGGGGGTCGGGAGGAGAGGGGGCAATGGGGCTAACCAGGTGGCGCCGTGTTCCTCGGCCCTGCTGTCCTTGTCCGCGAACTCCATGAACTGACTGCGGTTGTTGCTCTTCGGGCCCTTCTTCTCGATGTAGCGGTACCCGTCCTGCTTCTTATCCCACTCGGTCGCGCGCTTGGCAGGCTTTGCCGTGGCGGTCAGCGTGGAGAAGCGAATCTGTAGGCCGCCGAGTTTCTCCAGGAGGTAACAGATCGCATTGCGGCCTGCTCTGTACTGGTTCCCATACTGATACACGGCGCCCGTACCATGACACATGGGCTCGCAGTTGGCCATCTTCAGGAACTGGCCCTTCAGGCCAACGTCCTTGAACATGTGCACTTTGCCATCGCCAGTGCCCAAGACGAAAATCTGCATGACGTACGGCCCACCAGGCTGGCTCTTGAGGTTGAACGGTGGAGGGAGGCCACTGAAATTGGACTTCGTGGCAAGGTCCTTGACCACGTCCAAACGGCACGGTTGCCCATGGGCGTCCTTCCAGTCAGTGAGGACACCGACTTTTTTCCCGTCGCTGTCCGTGATATCATCGCAAGCCTGGTTCATCAGCAGGTCCCCGAAGTAAGAGATGTTCGTGCCTGCGTGGACATTCATGGGCGCAGCAGGAAGATCCGCGATCTGCGACAGCCCCTCTTGCCCTGCGTGGCCGTGTGTGGGGCCAGCGTGGAAGTGGGGTTTCATGCCGTCGGCGTGCGCGAGGGCCTCGCCGAAATTGATGTTCTCGTCCCCAACGGCGTCCCGAGAGTCTCGCGGAGGGTCTTGGGGGGGATGACGTTCTCCCTCGCCATGGCAGCCGCAAAAGAGAGGGGTCGGCACGAAAGGCGCGTGCAATCAAACAGCTTGAGCCGATCGGGCACTACGGAACTTCTCGGAGGGAGGGCGGCCAGAGACTTCCTAATGTGCTGCTCCATTAAAGCAACATGTCGGCGTCGGTTTCCTGTGGGATGGCAAGGGCATCCCCTTTCAAGGATGCCCCTGTATATGATAGGATCGACTATCTTATGTCTGCTTGGAACTGGGCTGGGCTGCTCCACATGTGGCTTTGGTTCTGGTTATGGTTCTGGCTCTGGTTCAAGTTCTGGCTTTGGTTTTGGCTCTGGTTCTGGCTCTGGTTCAGGCTCTGGTTCGGGCAGTAAATCACGTGCAGACGAACGGCAGTGGTTTCGGGCGCGGAGGTGGGAACCCATTATTTGGGTTCCCCGTTGTGTTTTGCTATCCGATCGGCGCTGCTGGCCCGGGAGCCTTTCCATATGTCGGCCACATCGTCGAAGCGGCACATCGTCGAAGGGGCATCCATTTATGGATGCCCCCTTCTGCCGCATCAAGGCACGATGGAAAGAGAAGCGAGCCAGAGGTTCTGCAGAGGCAAGCAAGAATCATGGTCGAAGTGCACCGTGCATGCTCGAGCGCGCTGTGTCCTCGTCGCCGCCGCCGTCGTCGTCGTCGTCGCCATCGTCGCCGCCGCCGTCTTCCTCCTCCTCCTCCTCCTCCCCCTCCCCCTCCTGCTGATCAGAATCCCCTTTTGGATCAGAGCCTTGGAAAACAAAAAACAACAACAAAAAACGTAATAACAGCAATGTGTCGGGCGGATTCGCCTTGCAGTCTGTACTCTCCCAAAACATTGCTTGTATTGCTTTTATTTTGGTTTTCCCAATGGTCTGTTGCTTTCTGGGGAAGCCGAGGGAACAAAGGAAGGAGGGGGGGGGAGGAGGAGGATGAAGAGGGAGGCGGAAGGAGGGGAAGGAGAGACGGAAAGTGAAGGAGGAAGGGGGAGGAGGAAGAGGGAGGAGGTGAGAGCGAGGCTTTCTGGATAAAATATGTAAATCGCGGGGGTCCGAAACCGAACTGGAACCGAATTTTCTTAGGGTTGTCGGGAGTATTCGAGTAGTTCGGGATTTTCTAGCTGGCGCCTTGGTAACTCCTCGGGCGGCCACATTGGATGCGCAGTGGGACTTAGTTCGGCCGTATTGGGGATGGCTTGGGGGGCTCTTGTGTTGTCTGAGTGCCATCTCGGGGCGATTCGGGGCCTCTTGGGGAACCGCCAGAAGTGAGCCGTGGGGCCTCTCGAGGCCTGCTGGGTAGAAACCTGGTGAACGGGCAACACACATTGACTCAGGGGTCTCGTCAGCGGTTCTCTTGGAGGCTTCCTGGGGCTTAGCGTTTCCTGAGGCTCCGCGGGGTCCTCCTCTGATAATCTCGAGTGCTGAACAACCTGCAGGGAAGTCTAGGTCACCCCCAGGGGCCCGAAGATAGTCGCGCTTCGCGCACCGCGGCGTGGGTTGAAGAGGCACCCTTCCCCAGGGCGGCGGCGCAAAGGGCGCGAATATAACCGCGCGTCACGCATCGCGGGGCGCGGTGCGCGAGGTTGGGAGACCCAGAAAATCTGGAGGCAGGACGAGTAGGAATATGAGGAGGAAAATGAAGAGGAACATGAGGAGGGAATCTTAGGGGGCGAATAACTCTGAGGAGGAGGAGGAGGAATATGACCCAGGAGGCAGAAGAGCACCAGGCGCAAACGGCGACGAGCCTGCAGTGACCTCTCAACGCACACGGCGGCGCGCCAAGAAGCGCGCCGCCGCCAGCGGGCCGCCCGCCGGCGAGGGTGCGGACAGCGGGGGCTGGAGCAGCAGCGGCGACGAGGGCCCTCCCCCTCCCTCCCTCCGTCGCTCCCTCCCTCCCTCCCTCCTTCCCTCCCTTCCTCCTCTCGCCTCCCTCTTCCCTCACTCCCTTCCTCCTCTCGCCTCCTCCTCCCCCTCCCTCTTTCGCCTCCTCCTCCTCCCCCACCCTCCTCCTTCTCCTCCTTCTTCTCTTCCTCCTCCTCCTCCTCCTCCTCCTCCTCCTCTTCTTCCTCTTCCCTCCCGCCCTCCCTCCCTCCCTCCTCGTCCTCCGCGCCCTCCTCGCCCTCCTCGCCCTCCTCCTCTTCCTCCTTCTTCCGTAGCCATTTTGACTCAGACCCCATGCCCCCGTGCACGGAGTTGGTTGCGCATTGCCCCGCGTGGTTTAGCCATTTTGGCTGCTACGGTCCACAAGCACTCTGCCCAGGCGCTGCTGCTCCGCCGGCGTCGTGCGGCGGATCGTGGGTATCTTCGCCCTGCCCCTGCTGCTGATCGCTGCTGGGTTTCGGTGCCGCGGTTTATGAGGGCCGAAGCGAAGTCAGTTACGCAATCTATGGAGCTGCACGCTCACCATGACGTGATGTGAGCGAAGCCCCACCATGCAGCCCGCTCCGCGACGCACGCGGTCCGAGGACTGGGTCTCCTCTCTCGTGCCCAGCTCGACCTCGCGATACAGCAGCACCAGAGAGCGAACAAGGATGAGCACGAGATCGGGCGGCGGCGTCTTCGTGCCCTGCGGGCAGGCACTGCCTCGAGTAGTGACCCCATCCCTCATGCACAGCGGCAGGATCCTTGGGTTGCCGCTGATCCGTTGGCGGCGGCGGCTGCGGCTTCCCAGTGTGCGACTTCCTCGGCACTACCTATACGTCTTCGGCCTGGCGCTCCCGAGTTTGTTCCCGTAGGTGACTGTCTCTGGGCTGCGGTTCCTGAGGTCCCTACCTGCGACGCCTGCGTAGACTTCGACGCGGACTCGATCGCCTTGGGTTTCTGCTGGTTCGAGCACGCGTTCACCCAGCTGTGGACGGAGTTTGCCGCCCTGCGCGGGCTCTCTGAGCAGAGCGCTGCTGCGCGCGGCCAGGCGTGTGCCAGGTACTCCTCTCATGCAGGCGGCGAAGCAGAAGTCCGAGCGCCAGTTCGCACTGCTCCAGGACCTCGAAAGTGTCGTCTCCACCCCCATCGTCACTCGTGATTTGAAGGAACGGCTTGACCAGCAGGCGGATGAGATGCGTGACATGCTTCCTCAGCTCGGATATGTTGGCCAGTGTGGCGAAGGCAGTTGCCTTCTTCGCTGTGATATCGTGGCGTCGTAGGAGTCCCACACCAAGTCCATTGACGACATGCTACAAGTACTCCTCGCTGCTGCACACCTTGATACGCGCACCAACGAAGTTCAAACTGCATTGGAAGCCAGGTTTACGGAAGTACGCGCGGCGGTCGCCGATCACCGCACGCAGTCGGATGTTGCCCGGCGCGAGTGTGCTGCCGCCTTCCAAGCTTACGTTGACGCGGCGGTGGGCCGCCTCCTGCGTGACGATGTGCTTGAAGTTTCTTTGATGAAGATCATGTGCGAGACGGTGGACAAGTTTTGGCATGACTGACAACGGCTGATAGACGCGAACCAAGCTGTGACTGAGGAACTTGTGTCCCAGGTGAAAGACTCAATCCTCGTTCAAGCTGCGGGCAAGCTTGGCTCGCTAATTGGTCGCGCTGCTGGGCAAGTCCGCTCTCAAGTTCTGGGGGAGCTTGAGCAGATGGCTTCTCGCGTGGAACAGCTTACTGACTTGAACACCCCATACGGCACGTTCCATGGATGAGAAACTATTGTCTGGAATAGGCACTGGGTTTTCGTGAGGTGCTAGTCTCTGAGGTGCTCGCTCGACATGTACAACTTCAACTTGCTGAAGAGCGTGAGCGTGTGCCGCCCTCTGCACGGCACGCGGCTCTTACTCCTTCGGATTCGGTTTACTCGTTATTCGGTGATGCAGAACGTTGTGAGGTGTGCGGGGGGCGTTAGGCACATGAGCATTCGCGATTGACGCGTCACTGTCTCCTCCACGACGAGATGTCCTAGGAGTTGTGAGTGGCCCTCGTGCTTTTCTTCCTGGGCATGGCGCTCGTTGACGTTTGCTTCCTCGTCGGCTACGTTGTCGTATTTATGGCACAATGTTCCCTCCGACGGTTGCTCGGCCGCCCCGCCGTCTGTGACTTCGAGGTGTTCGTGCGCGCCCGCCTTGCCGTCGCCGCCGTGTCGTTGCTCCCTGGCATGCAGCTGTCTACTCGCCAGGCTGGCGCCGTCGCTCATGCTTCCTTTGGGAAGTGCGGACCCTTGGTATCTTTAAGAGGATTGGACTCATCTCTTACGCTCGTCTCCTCCTCCTCCTCCTTCTCATCCTTCTCCTCCTCCTCCTCTCTCTCTCTCTCTCTCTCTCTCTCTCTCTCTCTCTCTCTCTCTCTCTCTCTCTCTCTCTCTCTCTCTCCTCCTCCTCCTCCTCCGTAGCCATTTTGGCTCGAGATGTTCTCGCCCCGCGGTGTCCAAATGGACACCGCTGTGCCGCGGCCAGATCGCGTCCTCTTTTCGGTCCTGCCACAACCGAGGGCCTGCAGGCGCCCATCTCCATACATGTTCCTCGCGCTGCTGTGTGCGTGGGTCTCCATATACTGCGCGGAACTTCAAATCCTCGCACCATCGCCTCCATCGAGCTGCTGGTCGGCGAGTCCCGCATGCGCGCCAAGCCCGCGTCCACCATGGCTGACGCCACCATGGCCATCGCCACCGATGACGCCTTCGCCTAGGAAAAGCGTGGCAAAAAGGGGTCTCTGGCGGCGCAGGCATCGGCGGCAAGACTGACCGCAAAGGGCTTCCCAGTGGCGATCCATGGGCGGATGGTGCAAGCAAGCTCAGTGCCATTTCCATACCTGCTCACCAACGGAAAGAACTACACGCCCTTCTTCAGCAACAAGTCGACAAAGCTGCCGCCGCATTCGAAGCCACCGCCAAACAAGTCACCGCCAACGCCCAGGCCGAGTTCCTCGCCACCATCACGAAGACTGCTCAGCAATTGTGCG